TACTAAGCTTGATAAATTTTAGTAGAGTGCTATGGTATCGATATAGTAATTTATGATTTTTTGGTTATTCAAATATATGTATAAAACCTAAAAAAATTGTTTCACATGCTCCACTTGAAAAATTTTTAAAGGCTTAGCAACTTATGTTAAGCAGCAACCGAGTACAAAGGTCGTAACTAGAAGAGATAGTTGTTTGCTTTACTTCTTTATTTACTGTTCTATGTTTTAAGAAAAATAATAACTTATTTGTAAATAGTAATAATGTATAATAATTGAAATGTGGCTATATTTTATGAAATACTAGTCCACTAAAACACAATCAAAACAGGCATTTTGTAAAGACTAAAAGTCAGTTTTATATTATTGGATATGGTATCATGAGTGCACGTGTGCCTCGTCATTGTAACTTCTGTATCGTTAGCCAGGCAGTGCTGAAAGGTCAATATAATAAATATATATTTATATATGTATAATGTTATGAAATTTAAGCAATTTAGTCTAAACATTTATGTTTTCATGTTATAGTTTGTGTTCATTTTAGAATGAAAGAGGCATAATTTGTATTTACTTTTTTATGATGGTTTCAAGATTGGTAAAATCGATAAAAATTTATACAAATATTGCTTAGTCAAGATAATTTGAAAATTTTCTGATGCATAAAAGTATTTTTAATCTTCAAAAACTACATACTTATAGGCCCTTTCATCTCAAATTTTATCCACTAGTTTCATTTTTTTAAATAACTTTCATGAGAGCTGCATACCTAGTTGCAGAGTAAGTAGGTTGTAGTCAAAGGGTTAATTTGTCATAATTCGTAACATCTTCTGATGTCATGCTTGCATATACTTGTAGGCCTTTTTTTGTGAGGAGTGGGCTGAGACAGACTGCTCGTTTGCCTTTGTCCCAGTTTTGACTTTGGGTGAATCATTGATATCTCTCCAGGAAAGCATCCATGTCATATTTATGTTCATCATATTTGGGTCAGATGGCCCTGACTCCATTGTCATTCTTGGGTCCTTCTTCCTTCAGTTGGGTGAGTTTTGTAATCTCAGTTTGTGCTCATTTTCTCTCTTATTTCTCATCTCTTCTCTCTCTTTTTCTTCTTTTTTATTTGTGTTTTTATTCTTTCTCTCTTTGGTTCCAGTTTTTGCTTTCCTGATTTTCTTGTCTTTGTTTTCTCATTCTCTATTT